TTGATTCAGTTGTGGGTCCGTCCGTTGATTCGTTTGTGTTAGATTGTCTGGTCGTTACTTTTTTAACTTAAGAGGATAGAGTAAGTCAGCTCAAATTCTAATTTCGCCCCCACTTCCCCGCGCGTCGTATGCTATGTACCGATATATTTGTAATCACTAATACTGTAAGTAGAAAGGTCGTTAGACACTTATTTCATTAGGTTTATCATATTTATGCCTGTTTCTTAACGCCAAGCCGCGCTTCTTATTTTTATCGCGGTTATTTCCCATTTTAATTTTACGTCGTACTGTTGCGTAATGTATATTCTGATCGTAAGCGACACAACTTCTCCCTTCAAAAGCCTAAGCGATACTAACGGGGCGACTGGAATCAAGCTCAAGACGCCGATAGTTTAGGTAATTTCTTTTTACAGTGAAAATAATGGTATTTTAAAAAAAGTAAATAACATAAGCACTGCTTTATAGTTAGTTCAGTTAGTATGCAAAGTTTCATGATCTTATTTAAAGTATTTTATGAATAACAGCGGTTTATTGTTTATTTTGGAGTTAACTTTGGATTTTTTTTTCTATCGAGAAAATTTTACGAAATCGTGTTTTCGTCTAACATAATCATTAACATTAATCCTCAACTTTACCATATATTTATTTCAAAATTAATGCTGCAATATTTTCGGCATAACGAAGGATCTTACTAAGCCATTTGACATTATATTTCCCCTTAATGTTTTTATTCAGACGAGTGTCTTTCTAGGTCTTACGACAGTTAAAATTACAAATAAATTATCAGCACTCGTCGTAACGAAAGTATTAATTCCATGCGAACGTAATCGCGGGCACAGCTAGTAAGATATAAATATACATATATCGTGTGTTTTCTTGTTGCCGTTAGGGCAACTGCACACACTCGGCGTGTTATTTCACATTTATAAGTTATTACCAGTGCCATGTATAGTAATGCTTCTTTTTTGTCAAAAACCTTCGCGTGCGCACGCTCATCAACACATCAAAGACAAAGAAGACTAACAAACAAATATTTTATGTCCGAAACTTCGCAGGACACATAGCCACTCACCAAAGTTCATTGTAATTAGTGGTGATGAACGCACAAAAGATGAGCAAACAAATAAAAGAATTCTATATTTGATTATACATCATCATCGATTTCTATACTCTCTATATCTATATCTCTATATCTAAATTCTCGACTCATCAAGCGTGTTTAAAACAAGAAAAACGAAAGCGAACTTACATAATTATACATTTATAATCATTATCACCATCACCTCAACGCATCAAGTCGACTGAACATACCTATACCTAATTGTCAATATAGTTTTCTATAAGCTATGGTCCTGACCCATGTACACCCATTGCCTGCGGCTATCAGCTCATCGTCTAGGGAGGGGTCCAGTTGTAGGTAGAATGTCATTAGGTTATAAATCTTCTTAACAGCCACTATTCTAAGGAAAAGGGAATCCCACTAAAACATCAATGTGAAAAAGTATCTAAGTCAGTTTCGTCAATAAAGAGTTGAGATTTGAATATATTACCATAGATGCCAAAGTTTATATATGAGAAACATAGAAGTGGGCTAGGTTTTAATGAGTGATTAGAACCAGCGAAATTTTTAAAAATTGTGTACCTATTAACGAATTTTAATATATCACATTTTGTTCAGATTCTAAGCTACAGTTCGAAATTGTACCTCTCTAGATCATCAGAAAGTTAGTTTAAAATCAAACGATAAATTCAACCCAAGCGAGTTAATAAACACGTGGTAATAACATTACTCAGATTTTAATAACTCAGGCACTATTATTGGTTTACTAAGTTTTAGAGTCCTTATTAGGTAAACAAAATTACTTGAGTAGATCTTATAGTTTTTAAGTTATGGGAGGTTCGAAATTAATTCGAAATGGTTCTTGTTAATGTGCCACAGTACCGGTGCTCGTCCTTTTGTTTTTCGAAGTCGGGTAGCGCGCGAGACTAGCGTGTAGCTTTCTCTAAGTGGAATGTCTCCATTCCAAACATATTACGAACTTTAAAAAACTTAATATTGTTTTGAAATTTATAAAAATGATTAATAATTTATTTATAACTACAAAAAATTGGTAAAACTTTACACGTAGTGCCACAATGACGTATGGAGAGTTGGGACCGTCAGAAAAATTCGCATAACTTGCAGCTCGAAGCTTCTAAAAGTGAATAAGAGCGTGTTAGCTCTGGAAAATACGAGTCCTATTACAATAACAATAAGGCCGTTAATTACATAACGTTTAGTGCACACTTACTTATCCTCGACCGTTATACTCGTTGAATATTCAGAATAAATTTTCCCGCGCAAGGCATTGCCTTAAATTCTCCGTAATGAAATTGTAAGAAGAGTTTTTACTGCCTATAGTTAGAACCCGTGCGCAGAGCGCCTTAGCGGTTTATAATCATAAATAATGAATAACAATTCAAAATGGCGGTTATTTTTTAAACCGCGTTTGCAGGTTTAAAGTTTCATCTGTTTAGCCCACCGAGAAGTTAATACTAAACCGACAAACAATCAGACAACGAAGAAAGTGAGTTCATATTGCATGCTTTTATTATGTAGAAAAAATGAATGAGGATGCAGTTATATAAATATATATATATATATATATATATATATATATATATAAATATATATATATATATATATATATATATATATATATGTTGCAGAAGTGAATGCAAGAGTCGGAGAGGGATGTCCGAGGCGCAAGTTTATCGACCAAATTGGGGATATATTGAAAATGGGCCAAATTAGGAGTACCCTTAACCGACGAGCATGTATGCGTAGGTATACGAATGTGAAGGAAGCGAGAGAGGTGTGTCAGGATAGTGCCAAACGGAAGTCTGTAGTTTCTGCATACCCCTCTAGGTTACAGGCGAGAGTATTTATGTATGTATGTATTATGAAATTGGGCTAAAAAGTCGATGATTATGCCATGCATTAATGATAAAAATGTAACTGATAAAACTTTTCACTAGCATGAGCTATAACCAATACAAAGTATGGCTTATTACATAAGTAATAAGCCATACTTTGTAGAGCAACGCTGCAGATATATTATAATTTATAAAATAGCAGCGTTATGTTGCTGTGTTTCTTATGGTGAGTGGTTTCGTATAAAGTATAGGTAAGGTTGTCTTTATGACATCTCAAAGAGTATTGATTCAGTTTACGTGAACACAGTTACGTGATCTGTGTGATGTGTAATGTTAGTTAGTCGAAAGCCACCCCCAACCCGCCCCCACCTCTTTTCCGATGGTGTGATAAGGTTCGAGTATTGGGCTGCAGGGTTGTTTGTGTAAGGAAGGCGGAGTTCGGTAGGTGTCATTGTTTGTATTACAGGTCCATGGTCATTTACTGTATTTGGGATTTAATCCGCAATTTACTGATATCGTTCATAGAGGGATTTATTTATAGGGATTTATTTATAGGGATTTATTTATAAGGATTCATTTATAGGGATTTATATCTATTATCTCCTGCGTGATTTTGTCGTGTAACGCAAAGGCGGTCTACATACATAAATAGGATTCACATTCTGACACGAAACAATTATTAATAGGCCACACAAACACTTGTTCTGTGCGGGATTTAAACTCGCAGCCCTATAACGATCGACGCTTAGCCCTTCGATCAACAATACCAACTCGAAGGCTTAGCCTATGGAGTAGTCAATGGAACTATCAAAGGAGATTCTTATGACTTCATAGTACGCGTGTTAGTCATTCGATCTCCACATGCACCGCCAAAATTGATAACCGCAATTTTAAATTCTGATCTACCACGTGCTAGCAGCGAAGGGTCGCATAGTGAGGAAATCTGGATATATACAACATTTCGGAGATATATAAAAACCGCCAACAAGAAGGCCGGGTCTACATATCATCTTAACGTATCTTGATCAGACTTATTTTTTATTTTGTGCGAGCACCTATGCTGGTCTAGACTAGATATGAGCGCCGATGGCCAATTCCACGGCGGCGGCGTGGCCTGATAATTTCCACAGCGGCGGCGGCGTCGCGGCGGCGCGTCGTGGCCAGTCGTAGGCCTTGGATATTTTTTTTATCAGGGAAAATTTTCTCAAAAAAAAAAACCATATTGTAGTTACTAAAAAAAAAGCTTTATATTTTTTAATAAAGAAACTTATTTGTTAATTACAATTTGACAGTCTTATTAATAATTGGAGATCACGTTTACTGAAAAATAATCGTTTCAGTATTTTCAGTTGAAGAAAAACTGAACGTTTTCAATCACAGCAGTGTCGTCTATCTTTATTATAAAAAACTAAAAGAAATATTTATCATATATATATCCCTTACACTCAAAATATATATTTAAGTAAATTCTATAATAACGTAAAAAAACCTACGAACATAAAACAATCATATATTAATTATAAGTATGTAATTATGTATTTAAAGTAGTACTTATAATGTATTTATAATTAGTTAGGTAATTTCACATGTTCTTTCAGATACATTTACAAATAAAATAATCATTTAAGTGAGTTTTGTTGGCGCTTGATACTTTTAAGGCTCAATCAAATACAGAAAACAATAAAATATCAAAATAACAATAACAATACCACAAAAACATCAAAATGAAAATATGCATATCAATGTCCAAAAACACCGTTTATTCCTTTAAGGATTCTTTGCAAAATACATAATTGTCACGGATAAATACTATCCTATTTAGCCTCAAAGGCTTTAATCATGAATGTTTTGCGGTTATCACGAGTCCAGCTGTGGAAAATACTCTCTCGGCGTGCTGGTGGCTGGTATATTCAAAATTGAGCGTGCAAGAGCATACAGTGGTGGTATAGAAGTTTCCTGTCTTTCCAGTATTGTAGAACGTCTCCACCGTAAGACTCTAAATCTTCAGGAGATGCTGTACTGAAATATTTCCAGCATTCATTTTCTACAGCATTCCCGGAATCACGTTGAGTGGTGCTGTGTTTTCACACCAACTCCAGTAAAAAGTTTAAAGAACCAGCAGAAGAAGTCGGCCTAGCTTTAGCGGTATCAATGATTTCATTTTGACGAAGATCCTCTGTTGTCAAGCGATTTCTGACCATTGTTGATAGGAATGAAACCTTAGTGACTTCTCTTTTTTGCATAAATTCATCAATTTCATGAATGGCATTAAATCTACAATCAAGCAAAGTTGACGCAACGACCACACCGGTTAAAGGAAATCGGGAGTTCAAACTCTCAAACATGTTATTTTTGAGCCTAGCTATTGCGAGAGCCGCGTCATCATTCGCTTCTTCAAGCAATTTTTTCACTTCTGACCAAAACACTAGAACCAGATTCATAGTAGGTTGGGTTTCTGAACTTAGAACATCAACGATTTTCTTAAAATTCTCTCGAAACTTTATCAGAGCCTGAATGGTTTCGTATTCGGTATCTTGTAATACGAGATCACCTCGTCCTATTTCGTTAAGAAGTGTGTCTATAGGCTGTCGTTTTGCGTCATTAGAAATGCATTTTAGCATCATCAAAATGCTATGCCATCTTATGCTTGTGATCGTTTTAATAGTCGGAGGGGGCTGCAAACACTGTTTAGAACTTGAATCTCTTTCAGGTGTCTTAGTTGTTTCGGATTCAGAGTCGGTTGAGTCGGCATTTTCCAGATGTTCAGCGAATTCTTCAAATTCTTCAATGGCGTACTAATGCTGTCGGGCCGCGCGTGCCAGCGAGAAAGCAAGTTGCGACTCTTCACGACGGCGCGCCGCGTGCTTTAGTCGGCGACGACGCGTCGACATGTACTTACGGCGACGGCGGCGCGCCGGCGCGGCGCTCATATCTAGTCTAGACTAGAAAGACCAGTGTCACTGCGACCTAAAATATCTATTGTGATCGCTGCTATATAGCCATAGCATTAGTATATATATTATATATATATATATATATATATATATATATATATATATATATATATATATATATTATATTATCATTAATAGTTCATTGTTAAGCCCTGTCTTCTGTGAATAGAGGGATTTGCTTAGCTGTACGTGGTCAGACGTATCGTACATCAACCATAAGTAGTAGTATTATGAAATCATAACGTGTAGTGGTGGTAACCGTGTAGATGGTGTTAGAATATCCACACCATCCCGTACTATCCTGTGGATGTCGTAAGAGGCCGACAAAGGGAAACTGAACCAGGAGATCGGCGACAGCGTGTTCCCAGTAACAACTCAAAATTATGACAAACTGCGATTGGCAACCCACCCGCCAATGATGGTAACTATGAAAGAATCCCCCAGATGATGCAATCTTTGGGGGAGACTTATGTTCTGAAGTGACTTTTGTAGACTGTGCTGGATGTATCATAAAATATTAGGTACATTATTTTTTATGATATCATTTTTGGTTAACCTAGAATCGCATCACGAAGTAACTAATTTCTTCTCTAGATCTAGAAACCCCTCTCATATTTGAGAGAGTTATGGAGTAAAAGTCCTCCGTACTAGTTCAATGAGTGTTGGCGAACCTCAGATGCTTTCGAAATTTATTCCTTAGAAATGGAGATTTCCTCACGATCTTTTCCTTCACCTTTGAGCACGTAGTAAATCTGTAGAGCCACGCTGCAGCTATATTATGGTTGTAGCACGAATGAGTTGGCTCGACCGAGGTAGGGCGACCACGCTCTCACACAATACCAGCGTAAAGTAGCAGCTTAATGAAACTTTTTACGGGAAATAATGCATTCCATCTTAGACTTCAGTGGTCTCAACGCATCTGCATTTTGATTCTTAATCGTGAATAATGTAGATGGATATGGGCCACAGCATCCACTTACCATCAGGTGGGCTTTGTGCTCGTTTGTCATCCTTATTCTATAAAAAAGGAGTTGAAATAAAAATACTTGACAACGGGCGATGTGTGATATTGAAAATTTTCAACCCCCCTGTAAACGCGTGACAGGGGAGGCCTCTGTCATGATGAATGACGGACGTATAACTCTTTCAAAATCTGACGCTTCCGAAATCGACAGCCAGCGCGGTAGATTTTTTGTATCGAAATTCGTAATAATATCGTAATTTAATATTTGTATATAGGTATTTAACTTTTATTGCTGTGATATGTTTAAAACTAAACACATGTATGTAGCTACTAATTTAATTTTATCTGAATATTGACACTGTCTTTCGTATTAAACGCAACAACGCAGAAACCCGAAGGGGAGGCGGCATTGTACTTTACATACACAACAAACATCAGATTACAACTAAAAACATCACTACGGAACATTTTGAAAGTATTTTATGCACAATCGCCATGTACCGCCATGTACCGCCCACCTAAAAATAGTAAAAACTTATTCATTAGCGAACTAGATAGCACTTTACGTAAACAACGTGGTGAGTTGTTTTTAATAGGAGACATTAACATTGATCTTAACTCGGATAAACCTGTAAAACATAGGTACATTAACACTTTGCACTGTATGGGCCTTGTTCGTGGGATCACCGACAACACGCGTATAGAAATATCAGCTGGTAAGTTAAACAAGTCCTGCATTGATCATATTTATGGTAGATCCCATACACAAGACCTTTACACGGCAGCAATTGATACGAAACTGGCGGATCAGGATCACCGAGATACAGTGTTTGCCTGCGTTACATTTATTATTTGACCCGAAAACGTTTAGGTATTTCAAAGAAAAAATTGAATTCGTGCGCGCAGATAAAGATCATTCTAGACTTGTCTAAAACTATTTTCATTACCTTATCCTGTTATGTTTTAAATATATAAAATTATGAAATTCGTTTTCCTCAAATATCAAGAAGGCTCAAAGCATTGAGCTATTCATACATTCAAGCACCAATACTTATATCTGGGTTCTACTTTAACCTTGTCATCCCTATGTCATCCCGTGGATGTCAGCAGCATCTTCCCAATAACGACTAAAAATCCCTTCTATGTTTTTATACATTTAGCTATAATCATCAATGTTTTTGAGTTTGGAATTTTACAAGCAAACCCGGAGGTCACAACCTTATCTCTCAAGGCCATAAGATAAAGACTTCATGATACTATATCCTGTGAAGTTAAGATTTGATCTTTAGATAACACATTGCCGGGATGCCATATGACGTTTACCGTCCAATATAATGTAAGATAATTAGTTAATTATTTAACTGTCTGCAACCGTTGTAAAAATATAACTACATATGTTAATTAATACAATTAACATAATTTGCAAATAAAATGACAGTTAACAATTATACCCAACGATACCTCGCAATACATTGTTTTAAGCTACAATATAATATTAGTAAGTTGGTTACACTTATAAAAGAAATCTATGATTAAACTCATTGTAAAATTGGCTTCTAACTAACTGCATCTTAATTAAATAATTGTATATTTGGGATTTTCCTGGTCGTTGTACTTTTATTATTAATTTAGTTCTAGAAAAAATTTGCATTATATCTATGATCATAATATTAAAGTTGCTAATTTTTAAGTAATATTTTGTGTGAATTAAGAAATTATTTTAATACTTAAAGCAAACGATTATTGACTGTTGATATAGATACATGCATTAATATACAATCTTAGTATAAAAACTTAATTTAAAATAAAGCCTTAACTTTGGTGACTCAGTTTTTTTTTGAGAAACCCTCTTCGTTCATACATGCAGTGAGAAGTTTTCGTACTGCGGTCGCCTGCTTACAACTTGACAAAATACGAGTGGGTACCTACCTCGCCCAACTACATCTGGTAGGGTAACGCTGCAGCTGTATTATGGTTGTAGCATGGATGGGTCGGCTCGACCGGGGAAGAACCGCACTCTCACAGAATATCAGCGTTAAATAGTAGCTTAAGGGGAAATATAATGTCAAATGGCTTAGCAAGATCCTTCGTTATGCCGAAAATATTGCAGCATTAATTTTGAAATAAATATATGGTAAAGTTGAGGATTAATGTTAATGATTATGTTAGACGAAAACACGATTTCGCAAAATTTTCTCGATAGAAAAAAAATCCAAAGTTACCTCCAAAATAAACAATAAACCGCTGTTATTCATAAAATACTTTAAATAAGATCATGAAACTTTGCATACTAACTGAACTAACTATAAAGCAGTGCTTATGTTATTTACTTTTTTTTAAATATCATTATTTTCACTGTAAAAAGAAATTACCTAAACTATCGGCGTCTTGAGCTTGATTCCTGTCGTTCCGTTAGTATCGCTTAGGCTTTTGAAGGGAGAAGTTGTGTCGCTTACGATCAGAATATACATTACGCAACAGTACGACGTAAAATTAAAATGGGAAATAACCGTGATAAAAATAAGAAGCGGCTGGCTTGGCTTTAAGAAACAGACATAAATATGATAAACCTAATGAAATAAGTATCTAACGACCTTTCTACTTACAGTATTAGTGATTACAAACATATCGGTACGTAGCATACGACGCGCGGGGAAGTGGGGGCGAAATTAGAATTTGAGCTGACTTACTCTAACCTCTTAATGCTGCTGTGTTTTGTATGGTGAGTATAGAGAACCGGGGACCCTTTTTACTGGAGATGAGAAATTCCAGCTTAGTGACAAGGCATCTGCATTTTAATTCATAGATGTGGATGTCTATGGATCAAAGCCACTATTAACTATGAATTGATCAACGTGCTCGTTTGTCAACTTTTAAAAAAATCAATCAGTTAAGTCGCATGATAATTTACCCCCTCTTCTATATTAAAAAAAAAACTTTCTTTGCGCTATCATAAAGGGCTTCATTACCACTTACCATCAGAAAGGCCCTTGTCCAAGAATAGTCTATAACGGGTAAAGGATAAAAAAATCTATTTATGTTCTTAATTTGCTACTTTAATAACGTCATTTATAAAACGAGATGAAAACGTTCGATTGAAGTGTTAAAAAATTTTGCCTATAAAGCATTTTAACTCCAAAAGATACGTTAAGAGCCGTGGTTAACAAGGACTAAGCACACGCCGTTTTACACTCCCTACACTAACGTCCCGGGTGCAATCCCCGCCGGTACTAATGTAATTATTTATTGCCTAGTGCTCATTCACCAAGCGCTCGACGATGAAGGAAAACATCGTGAAGAAAACTGCGTGTCTGAGAAATAAAAAAATATGAAATATTTCGAAGACATATGAAGTCTGCTAACACGCATTGGGGCAGAGCGGCAGACTTGTCATTGCCAAGAACTCAGAAATGTAAAACAATTTTAATATTGTATTTATTTTTTTTTTCAGTAAATTATTGTTGAATTTCTTCTATTGTCTTCGCTAATGGGATTATGTTTCTGCTAAGATTCGATTCAACTGCTCGCCTTCAACAAAGCGTTCGTCTCCAGAGCAAGTGTAAAATCTTGCATTGTACAAAATTATCGCACGAGTTTCTTTAAAGGAGCTTTATTTTCGTTCCTGTCCCGTTTGCTTGCAACAATTCAGTTAATTTTAGTTATTTCTGAAAATTTTTATTAAAACGGAATTAAATTTTTCGTA